ATATATGTATATATATACATATATGTGTATATATATATGTATACATATATATATATATATATATATATATGAATATAATTAAATATGTATGAAAAATATGAATATATATGCTTATATATGAATATATATATATGTATATATATATACATATATGAATATATATATATATATGAGTATATATGGACATGTATGAACATATATGAACATATATGAATATATAATATATATGAACAAATATGAATATATATGAACAAATATGAATATATATGAACATATATGAATATATATATATATAAACATATATGAATATATATGAATATATATGCATATATGTATGATTATATATATATATGAGAGACGAGCGGGCGCGCCGCTTGTCATATTGGCCCTTTCTGGTGGGCATTTCCCTTCTCTCGGTAGGGACACCTACACACAATTCGTCGCCTCCGGGCACGCACAAAGCGTCTTGCCGCCCCTCACCGATCCTCGCTGTTGTTCAGTTGAGCACTGTCGGGTGCTCCTGACGTTTTCTTCGGTTTGGTGAGGGCTTCTGCACGTTCGGGCCTGTAAGTTGCCCATTTTCCTGGAGCGCGTTCGTGCTTTTGGCTCCGCTCATTCTTTGCACAGGACCGTCGGACCTTTATGCAGTGAAGTGAAGTCAGGTGAAGTGTGAAGGTTTAGGGTTTAGGGATTTAGGGAAGATGGTTGGTGCAGGCACCTAGCCCTCATCTGCGGGCCTTGGGGCTCTCGTCGCTCTGATTCAGGGGTGTCTGAATAGTGCCTTGAACCAAAACCTGAAAAGCCACAAACCTTAAACTCTAAAGTTGAAACCTCAAACATAGAAGGTCTTCATCCTCAAGGTAGGTAGCAGCCAGACCAGAGCCATGAGGGCTCCATCCACCGACTTCCTAGCTTCCAGGGCTGCTAACAGGGGATCCGATTGAAGATGAATGGCTGTTGTATCCTATCGATCCGCCTATCTACCTATGTATATCTATCTACCTATCTATCCATACACGATTATTGGCTGCTCCATATATCACGACTGAAGTCTTGCCCTATTCAATCCCCTATTCGTGCAGTCGAGGCGATTCCTTTGAGTGGGAAGTTACGTGTTCCTGGCGCTTTCCTGCAGTTTGGCGGATACACACAATCCTAGACTACGTACGGTATGGTAGATATGAGAACTATGGGACCTCAGGTATGCTCGTTACCACCGTGGTTTATGAAGCGTTTTTTCCGTCAGCAGCATGTGGCCAAAAATCGAACTTCTCTCTCGAAGCTCTTGAAATCAAGCAGGGCCGACGTTCTCAAGCATGAGAAGCAAACTTGGGGCCAAACCTCATAATCGCCGAAATCTTCAATCTCAATCGCAGTTTTGCCCTCGCCTAGTTGAATCCTACACGGGCAAAAGAGGCTTTCCTGTTCAGGGTGAGACCCAAGCTGCGAAAAAACCCTAAATCCATCTAAATCCTAAGGTGCGTCCGTGCTCTCTGCTAGCCGGGTGTCTGCTTGGCCCAATAGACAGACAGGCCGGCTCCCTCGATGTATTCCTCCATTGGGGTTTAGGGTTTAGGGTTTAGTTTTTTGTTGCGGGCCCTTTTCCTCCTGGTAGATAGAGCCCAGTATGAGGACTGAAAGGCCAGCCTCAAACCCAAATCAAGCCCTCCAGGGTTTAGGGTTTGGGGTTTAGGGGAAATTGGTGTCGAGTCAAGTGCTGCAAGAAAAATTGCATGGTTACTTTTAGCATTCTAAAATAACGAGCTGCGCACTTGGAGGACTCAGCTGTCCAAGAAAAGGCGGCATAGTTTTCATTGGGTTCACCTGTGAAGTACTGCTGTGGCAGACTAAAGAAATAATAAGACAGAATACTAGCAATAAGTACAATAGGAACTGGCTTATAGGAAACGCATACTGCTCTGACAATGATAAGAAGACAATAGCCAACAGCATTGCTATTAGCCACGGGAACAGCTCTAATACTACGATTCATAAATCCACTTAGAGCAACACCGGTAGCAGCCGTAAGAGCTTAGTCCTTGCCATGTTGCTGTGATTGTACACAGAGCACATGGCAACAAAAGCAGGGGCCTGCACCCCGAGTCGATGTCACTTGAAGTTTCAGTCTCGGCGTGTCTAAAACAAAAGCAGGAATGTAGACGCCCAGTCAACCTTTTGCCTTCCGCAATATTAGGATACCGGTGACAATCCTTGCCTCCTGGTTCCAAATCCTCCCTGCCCCGTTCTTTCGCAGCCGTGGCTCCACGAGATGTTCAGAGATCTGCATCTGCGCTTCCGCCGTCTTTCGGTAGCCTGAGGCAAAGACGACTAAGAAGGGCGCTGTTACTGCTCAGCATGTCAATATGAAGAGCGTGCAGGAATACGCGTGCACATTTTTGGATGTACAAGCATCCTCATAGACAGGAACTGTGGCGCGTCAACAACGCACTGCACTGTGCCCGTGCGGGATGTGTGACAGCCATGCTATCCACTGGTTGAGGAACCAAAGAAAGCATCGACATAGCTGCCGCTTTGAAAGCGGTGTAAGCCCAGGGCTCACTTCTGAGGTTCAGGCGACGCGGTCTACAAATGTTTAGTGCCGGCTTCCCAGTTTTCAATCCCGAACTGTTTGACACCGGCAAGTTTTGTGAATCAGAGTCGGGGTGCAATGGTTGTTGGACTGTGCCGTCACGAAGTTATGCCCCCTTGACACTTGAAGGAGAAGGGTCTCGCTTCAGAGATTGAGCTCGAAAGCCTTCCGTCACAGGGCACCCTGGCCCAAACCCCATGCGTCTTGGAGGGTTCGGGCGCTGAAACGGGGAATCTGATGAAGCTTTGGCTCCCCGAGTCCCCGAGTGGATAGAGGATCGATATAGACTGCCGTGCTCCAGAGCCACGTCCCTCGCCTCTAAGCCCTCAACACTACAGCTGGAATCTGCAATCTCTGAGCCGCAAGCAACTCGTCCCCATACTTTAGGAGGTCTTTGCGTGCCCAGCAGCTCAGAATTCCGCCGCAGGACCAGAAACCCACCAAGGCGCCAAGACAAATCCTAAGCAGGCCGAGTGTCTCGCTCGGTATTGAGATTGAGACACCCCCGTTTACAAGAAACTTCTTGGTGCTTAAGGCTTTGCTCAGGGATACGGGGTTAACAGCTAAACCTTAAACATCCGTAAACCCTCAATCCTGAACAGCATAAGTTTGAAATCCCAACCTTCCGGACCCGAGCACCCCACAGTGGAAACAGAAATGCAAATAGTCCAAACCTCCGCAAGCCCCTGAAGCCAGAAGAAAGTCTTGGCTACACCGAAGCGCAGCCCTTAACCCGAAGTTCCCATTCTAGCTGACAAAGGACCCTGAATCGGGTTTTGGACTCTCGCGACCCAAATCCAAATCCCAAACCCAATCCAAGCCATGAATCAGTCCGTTAGTCAACTAACCTATCAAAAATGTTTATGGGTACATAAATATGCACACATACACACACTTACATGCATGCATGCATGCAGGCATACATACATACATACATACATACATACAGACATACATACATACATACATTCATACATACATACCCGCATACGTACATAAAATACAAACATGAACATAAGCGCCGCAAGGAACAGTCGTACACAGGGTTGCAGGCTCTAGGGAATCTAAGGGTTTAAGGTCTATCACTCTTGAGCGTACTGTCCCAAACCGCATGCGTTGACTGCATCGTTTCCGGCTTCGGGAGGCTTCCGTAAGGCATGCGAACAAAGAGTCATGCAATCTGTGGCCAAGGCAGAAGCGCAGAAGAAATGTGCTTCTGCCCCTGTACACACCACCTGCTCTGCACCGCTAGCAACCACGCACCCAATGGCCAGAAACCTCGGATGCATTCAGGGAGAAACGGCTTTTGGGTCCCTCCATTTTTGTTGATTCTATCTTGACTGCTTCAGATCGTGGTCTTGTTCCTACAGACGGGCGTTGGAGACTGAACCCAAAACCCAATCCCTAATGAATCCCTACATCCCTAAGCTTGACCCTAAACACAAAAAAAGCCTGAAGGCGTAGATTGAAGAAACTGGACTGCTTTGGACCTCAAACTGAAGCGCTTTAAGGGCTGGGGCCTTGTATTGTGCGCAAGAAACGGGCTCATACACTAAACCCTAGACCCTACACCCTTTTTGAGCATGGGGCTTCCCTAAATCTTTGCGACTGGCCTGCAACTCTTCCGAAATCCTTAAACCCCTGTACGAACAAAGCCCTGACGACAGGGGCCGAGTTACAAAATGCAGCAGTGGTAGATTTTCGAAAGTCCAAAAGCTTTGGGCGACAGCTTCCAAGGGGAGACCGTGTTGCTCTGCACCTTGCCGGGGTATTTTGGGTTGCTGTAGGGTGTGAGGGTTCAGGTGCGACAATAGCAAGAATACACATAATGACAGGAATAATAAGAGTAGTAACTCTTACCAATACTAAAACAACATATAACAACAATAGCCGCGAATAGCAAAACATAGCTGGTCTTCGAGGCTGACGGCTTTTGGGAGATATGGGCTCTTGCGTTGTGGCGGCTTGGGCGAGGAAAGCAGCGGATTCTCGTTGAACGTCATCATGGTTAGTTCTCTAAACCTTTTTAGGTCCGCAAAATAGTACGGCACCTTCACAAAAAGGACCCAAATTTAGAGAACTACCCACATATGTACTGCGCACGAAAGCCATGAAACATCAGCCCTAGGTCCAGAAACAATCCTCAAGACCCTCTAGCCCCAAACGATAAATTGCTAAAGACCTTGCAGGATGCCTACGAAAACTTATCAGAGCCAACACGGCAAATCCAGATAACATATAGACCCTGTCAAGCCCGTAAAGAAACCTGCACACTTTAGACCCTAAGCCCTAAAACTATTGAGACCCAGAAGGCTAAACTTAGACCCCAAACCCTGAACTTCAACCCAAACACTGAATAGACCCAAAAATCCCTAAACCCCCTGGTCAGCCTTCCCCTGAGCCACAGGGATGAGCCCCATGAGGCGGCAAAGGATGTGAATGGAACCGAGCCAGGCTCGAATCCTGGGGGTTTCGGGCTTCAGGATTAGGGGGTTGAGGGTTGAGGGTTCAGGCTTTAAGGGTTTTGGGTTTCGGGATTATAGGGTTTACAGCTTAAGACTCGGGTTTTCGCTCTCACCACTCGGACAAACCAGGCGAGGTTCCAGAGGTGCAGGTCCGCGTGACACAAACAGGAGGTATGCTTGCCCAGTACTATGCAAGAAGGGCACATAGGAGGGTTTAGGATAAGGGTTTTTAAGTTTAGGGATGTTGAGGGTGTTCAGGGTAGAGAGCTTATTAAGGCTCCAAGCTCGAATCCTAGGCTTTTGGAGAGTCTTTTTGTGGTCTACGGTTCAGGGATCAGGGTTTAGCGTTTGAGGGTTTAGGGTTCAGGGATTAGGGTTGAGGTTCGCGGGGAGTTTTCGTAGCTCCGCTTGAAGAAGTGAACTGCGAAAGCCACCTGCTGGACAGCCATCACAGTCCAAGGCCCCCGGCCATGTGCCAAGCACTGCAGGCGACCCGTGGCACAGTTTAGGGTTTAGGGGATTAGGGTTTAGGGCGATTTGTTTTACTCATAGCGTGTTAACTCCCAAAGTATGCCGCGAGGTGTGGGGAAGTACCACTAAGCCCTGAACCCCTTTTCGAAGCCCCCCCCCTCTAGAACCTAAAGCCCCTAAGCCCCCCTTCAGAAAGAACCCCGTGCGGAACATCCAGTGGGGAGCGATGGACAAAATCAACGGCAGGGCACAAAAGAATCGGCTGCTCGGCTGACATCAACTCTTCCTTCGGTGACTCCTTGGTACAAAAGGTCCCGCTCCTTACTGTAGTAAGCGCTCTGTTCAGGGTTGAGGAATTCTTTTGGCGAGGCATCTGTTCATGTATCTGTTGGGCGAGATTGCAGACATGGCTTTAACAAGAAAGGTCCCGATATCACAGAGATCATAATAAGAATAAGTGTAGCCCTTTCCGGCCTTCATGTCCATCCTGAGCAGCCCCCTCAGGCTTCATACCGTGACCGTTGGTATAGATACATAGGGACCGCATGATAAGACAAAAAACATACTGCAGACTCATGAGTTTTAAACCCCTACCTTGAAAGGCATTGGATCTTAAATCCTATCTAAAGCCCTGAAGGAGACGGCTTTTATCATAGTGGTCTACGGTCTACATTAATCAAGAAGGTTTGGGGCTTATGGGTACAAGCTTGCTTCAATGGCTTTGGGTTAAAGCTCTTAGGTCCTGGCATTGGTTCCCAGTTACGGCTTGTGCTTGAATTTTCGGTGGCATCTATGTTTATGTGCAGGGTCGCATAGAGCGCTTCCCTGTAGGTCCTTGAAAACAAGCACAAAGTACAACTTCAGCCGGGCCCTGCAACCGAAAGATATCGGAACCTTAAACTTCACACCCAAAAACCCTAGACCCTGAACCAAAACCCTGAACCCTTGACCCTAAACCCTATAACCCGAAACCCAACAGTAGGCTTCTACATTGCAGCTTGGGGGTGAGGGGCTCAGGTCTCGGAGGTTGTTAACGCTGAGCCGGCCGATAAGACTTGAACCCTGTGCCCTAAGCCCAAGAGCCCTGTCACCCCGAAACTATTACCCCTAAACCATACCCTGGTAATCTCACTTGAAAACTGGAGCCTATCAATGTGCTTGCTCCAGAACCAGCTCTGAATCGCAGTTTGCTAATCTGATATAGGGGCCCTTAACAAGTGGAGTAGGGTCTTAGAAGGATTCTTGAACGGAGCTGAAAGCTTCTAGACAGCTTTATAAGGTATATCACTCTACGCTAATAATCATAAGGAGCACGAAGGAATACTACTGGTACTTCTTCCGACCCATATGGTGCACTAAACCCTAAACCCTAAACGTGCACTAGACCCTGAACCCTAATAGCGCAGTAAACCCTGAGCACTGAGCACTAAACCCTAAAACCCCCCTTTTTGAAGGACCAAGGCTGTTCTGCCCAGCTTCGGGTAACTCCATGAACTCCTCATCTTCCTGCTAGGACACTTGAAAAGGAGGTCGTTTCGGCCACAGGTAGGGCTTACGGCTTAGAGTTTGCGGGCTTCTTGCTGACAGTGTTTGTATACGTTTTCGGCTTCGGGGCTTAACACCAAAGCCCTGAAGCCAAAACCTTAAATCTTCGAAGGGCTCGTTTAGGCTTCGCATCTTTGGCCTCGTTGTTGAACTCAAGGGCAGGATTCCAGCAATTGATCTGAAGAGCCTGTTCAATTTCCACGAATATCTCCTCAATTTCGGCGAATCAGGGGCCTTAGTAATTTTTAACAGGGTTTGGGGGCATACTATACTAACTACTTACTACTCTGACCCCTACCCCTATCTCAGCATGTGGAGTGCTTTCGATCTCGTCCACCAATCCCACGTACGGCAGAGAGTGATGTCCAAACGATCCGAAGACGAACGTTCTGAACCCTTCAACGCCTTGGAAGAGGCTTGAGGAGAGGAGCCCCTGTGTAATTCGGTTGGGTCTTCAAGGGCCGATGTGTTCAGGGTGTAGGCATCTAGCATCTAGCATTTCTACGAGCCCAGATTGAAAGATAAGCGGCCAAAAACACTTCTTGCAAAAGACACCCTTTTTTGCAGCTGGGCAAAAGAAACCCTAAACCCTAAACCCGAAAGCAGTGAAGTGTGACAGTCTCAAGAACAAAGACCCCTTTTGAGGTGTTTAGGGCTTAGGGTGCAAATCAACCTGAAACCATTGTTTGGAATCTGTGAGAACCAGCAGGGAAACCCAACATTGCCGAACCAATGCTGCAAGATGGATGGCACAAATCCAAACGGCAAAAGGACTACCATAGAGCACTCAGACTCTGCCCGTTTGGGTCTCAGTCTTCTTATGCCACAAGCCTGAAACTCTCAACATGTCGTTTTGCGCCAATAACGGAAAGGGCTCAATGAAACCAAGATAGACAAGTCAACTTGTATCACTAAGCAGGAGAAAACAGGCTCAATGTCACAAGAACGAACACAACGACCCGCAAACTGTAAACCTTAAACCCCGCCAAGACCATTCCTAAAAGGCTACCTCGCTGTGCTTGGCCGAGCCCATCGGGCCCGGCGAGGGGCCAGCAGGAGGCGTACTCGGAATGAGCTGTGCCTAGAGCAAGGCACCGTGCCGCTTAGAGCCTTCCTTGACGTTTTGTTGTCAGGGTTCAAGGCTGAAGCATCTTTGGTCACAGGGTTGAGGGCTTGGGGTTTACGTGGTAGACAATGCCGGCAGAAGAGGAGTTTGGTTTTAGTCACGATGTTAGTCGAAGTGGCCGAGAGTCTTGCCTGCTTCGACTTCAAGAAACTGTGTTGAGGTCTGTTTCAGCCAAATCAAGCACCGTGATGCCGGCTCGTGACCTGCCTCTGAACCTGATGCAGCAAACATCAGGTTGTAAACAAACTATTCTCTAAACCTCCTTAATTAAGCCCCTAATTACCCCTACCCTTGTATTTCAGAACTGATGAGGTCAGGAACTCGGCTCGAGTCCCTTGAGGCGTGCGCCAGGGATTGAAGAGGCAGGGATCCGTCAGTTTTTCCCACTGCAGCCCTAAATCCCGTGTTCAACCGACAAATCCAGAACAATAGATTCCCGTTTCTCGACCCCAGCACACATCGAAATCGACTCATCGAATTGCTTGGACATGCTTAGCCTCAACATGGCATCCACTACAACTGCCTATGGCAATTGCACTTGGGTCGAATCCGAACAGGCTCAATGTTCGTAGCTAGAGGGGAGAGGCCACTATATACGTCGGGAAGCCTCACGGTGGCGAAAGAGGTTGCTCCTTGGGCTCTCATGGCGAGAAGACACTTCGTCAGGGTATCGGGACTGTTGCTGGGGTGCCGACCCTCAGTGTGCAAGCATCTACGAGTCTGTGTGCATCTGCTGGAATGGGTATATGTACTACAAAGTGACGTGAGGAGCTGGTGAACCTGCAGTCTTGGTCACGTCACACCAACAACCCGCATAAGGATAGGCTGCAGCTTTAGAGATACTCGACGCGCATCGGCCGTCATTCTGTTTGGGCATCCAGGTAACCTGCTAGCTGGTGCTGCGTGAATCATGCAATGAGGTTCTTATTTTAGCCCAGAGCCGTGACAATCCGCTAAGGCCATAATTAATCGTTGTCGAGCGAAGCCCTCCCATAAGCTCTTCTCAAGAACAAGTGCCCTGCCCACCACCTCTCATGTTCTGCTCTTTGTCTACCCTAAACCCCATAAACCCTACAAGCCCTAAACCCTCATCCTCAAACCTCCTCATGGGGGGATTTTTGCGCCTTTGGAAAGGCACATGAACTTCGAATCTACCGCGCGTGCCACATGAAACAGGCTTGTTGTTGTAAAAGTTGAGGCCATGTTTTTTTTGCAAATTACAGTTGGGAAGTGCTTAGAATTTGGGTTTTGGCAACACTAGCCGGTGTTTCGGCCTGTTGAGGATTCGATGCGGTAAGCCGGTAAGCAGTACACTGAAAGTATTATCACGAAACATACCCAAAGTACCACGCCTGTCACACGAAACAGGGTTTGACATGGGACTGAGGATGCACTGAAACAACTCGTCGAGTGAGATGATCATAGGACATTTCATGGTAGAACATGACATGATACATGAAGTGTGATATGTCCTGAGATGATATGGTCTAAGTTTGCACATAGAGTCGACTTACTACATATGTAAATACATAAGAAAAAATCTCTCTCTAGATATATATATATATATAAATATAACATATACATACACTTTCCGTAAAAGCAAGATGAGTATTTTCTCATCTGAGCAAGTTCACCCGATGCGGTTAGCTGCCATAGGCATACACTTTCCACACAGGCAAGATGAGTATTTATCATCTGAGCAAGTTCATCCGATGCGGAAAAGTGCGATAGGCACATCTGACGAAGTTGATCCGATGCAGATTTCTGAAGGAATATGGAAAAGTCGTTGTCAACCAATATGAATTTGCCTTTTTTACCAGGATTCGAAGATGTCTACTTTCCATAGAGGCAAGATG